TTGGATTCTCTTTCTGGCAGGAATGGTAGACGCTACAAATGAAGTTCTTTGCGACACCCTCTGTGACATCTGCCAGTTCAGGCTCAATCGTTATGTTATGATGAACACCTGGAATTGAACTGAAATCTTGCAATAGATCTAACTGTTGCATTCAAAGTTAATTTATAACTAAGATAACACAAAGCAGTTCATATTCTTTACTCACATTTTGACATTTTGACCTCTGTAGCTGTCGCTTTTATGCCACCATGATGTGTTACTGAACACTTAATAGTCATGCTTTCTGCCTGTACGACACCTGTGCGTCTCAGAGTGATTTTCAACAGGCCATCTTTAATAGATTCATCCCTGATTTGGTCATTTCCTTCTATACCGTTCAGAGTGATTGTTGGTTTGCTGTATGGACACGTGTGGAAAGTTGAACATTCTACTGTGATGGTGTCACCCGTCCTTTCACCTCCAGAAATACTGATGCTGGGCAGCTGTGGACTTGCTACAAATAGCAGAAATGTCAATATTAGGCAACTAGATGAGAAGTCAAGCAAGTTTTGAAGAACAAAGTATTTACGTACCGTCAACTTGAATTGTAGAGGTGACATCATAAAATTTGTAGGTGCGCCATCCAACATTTTCAGGGTCAATCAATGCATATAATTTCTCTCCATGGTGGGACTGTTCCAGGTTTTTAATTAACAGACTGCAATCCCTACTTAATGGGTCACCATATAAATCAGTTTTCTCTCTGAACTTCTCAATGACTTATCCATCTCCACAGTACAGTCTTGCTCATCCGGGTTTCCGAGGAGCCTTGTGCGGCCTTTGAAGTTGTCCAAGACATCAACTGGGTCGGTGTAGAACATGTAGCCACCTTTTTTGGTGACCCAAAGAACTCGAAGTCGAGTGACATATTCCTCCTCCATCTTGAAACTGCACGGTATTACCACACACGAACGAGGCAACGCAGTGATCTTGGGTATCACATCTGCCACATGTTGGAAATAGGCTAAAATTATATGTGACACCATGTAGTGGATTAATCAATTGTCACAGAACTGAAAATGTCATTTCTAATCATATACTGTAAATCTGAGAATAGACATAGGGGATAAAAACATACTTTCATTCTGCATTGGACTTGCTGGTTTTTGATACTCTGTAAGACAATTAGTAGAAAAAAATAAGCTTGGGATTTTAAAGTTTTACTTATTGTTGGGTTCAGTTTAAATAAACTCTTGTATTTGTGCTTTAGGCTAGAAACATACAGTACGTCATGCAAGTATGTGAACATTTGGTTGCACACATGCTTTCATAGCTCAAAGCCTCCGTGTTCACATACTTGCATATGTGTTTCAGGCTTTAATATTCACCATCTTTATGGCAGTCAGCACACGATTTGTTTCTTGCTTTTGCAGATTCAAAATTAATCAATTATAAAAAAAAATAAAAAATCTGAACAAGACCGCACGCAACACACATAATGCAAGATTACTCACGTTGCACACGTAAAACAACAGATGCTTTAAAGTCTGCTCCAGAAAATTTTGCGGTGCAAATCAGTTTCTTTTCATTGTCCTCTTTTACAGCCAGAAAGGTTATGTTGGAATAGCTGATCTGATCTAAACCAGAGAGTTTTTTGTTCCCCGTTGTGACCTGCATGTTCTCATAGTTCCATGTGATGGTTGGATTCTCTTTCTGGCAGGAATGGTAGACGCTACAAATGAAGTTCTTTGCGATGCCCTCTGTGACATCTGCCAGTTCAGGCTCAATCGTTATTTTATGATGAGCACCTGAAATTGAACTGAAATCTTGTAATAGGTTCCACTGTCTCATTGATAGTGAACTTATAGCTAATAGCATACATAACAGTTCATATTTGTGTTTACTCACACTCTGCACTTTTGTCCTCTGTAGCTGTCACTGTTATGCCACCATAATGTGTTACTGAACACTTAATAGTCGAGCGTTCTGCCTTTAAGACACCTGTGCGTGTCAGAGTGATTTTCCACAGACTGACTTTAGACTCATTCCTGATTTCGTCAGTTCCTTCTATACCGCTCAGAGTGATTGTTGGCTTGCTGTATGGACACGTGTGGGAAGCTGAACATGCTACTGTGACTGTGTCACCCGTCCTTTCACCTCCATAAATATAAATGCTGGGCTGATGTGGCTGTGCTACAATTGACAGAAACATTGGTATTAATACATAATATCAGTTTAAACCCCAATATTGGTTAGAAGACAGTCAATGGGTCTATTATTATGGTTATTATTGGCAACCACAAGAATATTTACATACTGTCAACAACAATAGTAGAGGTGACGTCATAAAATTTGTAGGTGCGCCATCCAACATTTTCAGGGTCAATCCATGTGTATAATTTCTCTCCATGGTGGGACAGTTCAAGGTTTTCGATCAGCAGACTGCAATCCCAACTTAATGGATCACCATATAAACTAGTTTTCCATCTGAACTTCTCAATGACATCATTTGGATACCATGGATCGTAAACTAAAGGATAACCTCTAGAGACCCACTGATACCACACAACTCTACGTGGGTCTTTGGGTGGGTATGATGTGTAGCTGAAAGAACATGGTATGACCAGACAAGAACCTTTGAGGCCACGAATTTCCAATGGCATACTCACATACCATGCCAAAGCATCATTCAGCAGAACACCTGTGGGACAAAAGTTGGAGAACATTAACGGCAGGTAGATTAAGCAAACTTTTTCAAAAGTATTTCTTTTTGTTTTCTAACCACATGTTCTCTGCACATTCTCAATATTGTGAACATCCAAAACTATTACAGAAAAAAATGAATGTTAAGTGGACAAATGTCAAGTGGTGGTTGAAAATGCGTCAAGTAGGAATCCCTGCAAATTACCTGAAAAAAAAAGATCCCACAACATTATTTATTCTCTTATTTTGATTTTCCCTGCACGCATAATAGACTGGTCCAAAATACAGCATGTACAGTCTATGCTAATTAAGGCTAAGACTGCTGTATAGTCCACTCCGTACAAATACCCATTAAAATGGTCAATTTTTCAAGCTTTGGGTTTTGAAATAACTTGAATAGTACGGTATGCATGTGCTGCTTGATAAAACTAGACAAACCCTTTAGATGCAAATAAAGAATAAAACAACATCAGTCATCACTCTGGTTACGTAAGGTTAGGGCATGTACAGTACATTTTACTTGCTAAACTTTGACAGTTGTTTAATTGATTTGTTGAGGTGTTAAAAGTATCCCGAATCACTAAAACCCCTTAAAATACATTTTAATACTTTTTAGTTGTGTTTAGAAAGTTTTAATGCCTGTCTGTGGTATTGCTAAATGAGGTAACAGATAAAATGTTCTTGTCTTGATCAAGACAGTTGTGAATATACAAATGATAGATTGGTGGTTTATTCATTAGTTATTTTTTGTAACTCATTTTAATTGTGATTTCAAAAAAGCAGGTAAATTATTTGACTCAGAAACGTCCAGAATTTAAGATGAAATGACATTCTGCTTGGTGAAAATTCTATTCTGAAACCACCTGTCAAAACGAAGCATGAGATGAGAATGAGAGAAATTAAGTGAAGTGACATGTGGCCAAGTATGGTGACCCATACTCAGAATTAGTGCTCTGCATTTATCCCATCCAAAGTGCACACTGCACACTGCGCACACACACAGCAGTGAACACACACACACCATGAACACACTCCCGGAGCAGTGGGCAGCCATTTATGCTGCTGCGCCCGGGGAGCAGTTGGGGATTCGGTGCCTTGCTCAAGGGCATCTCAGTCGTGATATTGAAGGTGGGAGAGAGCGCTGTACATTCACTCCCCCCACCTACAATCCCTGCCGGTACGAGACTCGAACCCACAACCTTTGGGTTATGAGTCCGACTCTCTGACCATTAGGCCACGACTCCCCCAAGAGTAAGAGAAATCCATACGCCAATGAGTAACAGTGAATATATTGCATCATGCTTTATTAAACCTTTAGGCTACATGGTACAAATTAAATGTAACAATGTTATTTAAAAAAAAATACATTTTAGTATTTTTTGGTCCATAATTCACTAAAAGAAACACACAAAAACATATCTGAAATTATTCACACAAACATCTCACAAATTATTTATCAAAAATGACAATAAAAATACAGTAGGGGTCATGAACTGCATTTGTTTTATTATTATTTTATAAAGTTCATTTTAGGTCCACTTATATTGTTAGCAAGAAGGAAAAAAACAACAATTTAGAAGTAATAGGCTATTTGCGATCCTGTTTTTGACCATCTCTGTAGAGCAGTCTGTTTTTCAGAACAAGAACGTCTCAATGAGACGTTTTGGCAGCTTAGTTTCAGTAAGAGCTGTTTTTGAGCCAGCGAGAAAGTTCTGAGTTCTGAAACTTACAGGATGTTTTTTTATAGTTCATTGACCTGACATATATCAAACGATCAAGGGAAATTAGATTTATCAGTTCATGACACCTTTAACTTTCATCTTAAGTTCAGCAAAAAATGTTTAAATGTTTCTCACATATTAAAAAGTATGTTAGCACTATATATAACTATTATGTACTTTATTTTTTATAACTTTGCAATGCAAGCATCATAACAATATGTAAATACAGTAATACTGTACTATATGCATGTGTAGGCATTATAGGTCAGGCTTAAAATGCAACACTCCACTTATTTCAAGTCTACTGTGTTCATCTAAAATGAGGCATTTTCATCAGATATTTCCATACAAGTTGACGTCTACTGTGTTGGTGTAATCATCATCGTAACTGTGACCCTTAATGGAAAAAGAGAGATTCAGAAATCAGATGTAATAGGAAATAACACACTATTATGTACTTTATTTTTTATAACTTTGCAATGCAAGCATCATAACAATATGTAAATACAGTAATACTGTACTATATGCATGTGTAGGCATTATAGGTCAGGCTTAAAATGCAACACTCCACTTATTTCAAGTCTACTGTGTTCATCTAAAATGAGGCATTTTCATCAGATATTTCCATACAAGTTGACGTCTACTGTGTTGGTGTAATCATCATCGTAACTGTGACCCTTAATGGAAAAAGAGAGATTCAGAAATCAGATGTAATAGGAAATAACACGTCAGTTATGAGTAATGAGATAAAATGTATGACCAACAAGAAATCAAGCACTAAACAACAGATGTTAACAATACTAAAAAGATTTTCACATGAAGTAATGGGAAAAGTATGATAAAGTATGTACTCACAGAATGTGATTTGGCCTCACTGAGGTGAATCATGTGAAAAGGAATTTGTAAATAAATAAATACATTGATCACAGCAGTTGGCTTATTTAAAAAAAGAAAAAAGTGTTTTTTTTGTTTTTGCAGGGGGGGGGGTGCAAAGACATTCTGAATTTAACTAAAATAAAACATTGATAAAAATCAAATTACACAAGATACTGGACTGTTGTAGCAAAGAGAATATTTGAGTACTGAGTACAGATATGAGTCATTCAATGCCATGAATAGGCAGTCAGTAAGATATTTCATATGCTCCATACCTCTTTGGTGATGGCATTCGAGCTTTGGAGAAAGGCTTGTTCCCTGACACTGTACATACGTTGTTTGCCCTGTTAAGATTCAGAAACCTCTGTCATACTCCAGTAAAACATGACAAAAAAAATGCTTAGGTATATTGAAGTAACTGTCCATAACACAGTAGACGTGGACAGAAAAAAAAGGATGTTTTCCCTGAGAATCGAACCCATGACATTGGCATTGCTAGCGCCATGCTTTACTGTTTTACAGAATAAACATTCACAAAAACATTTATTGGAATCAGACCTCCACTTTTATTAACATATAACACTATGATAAATCAAATCTGGTAAATAATCCTTAAAATATATATATAATTTACAAATAGTCATTCATAATAAACATGCAGATACTTACTTGTTAAAATCCCTGTCAATTTGATGCCCTTGACCTCTCCTTTAAAATATAGGAAACATAGACATTAGTCTTTAGGATCAGCAAAATATATATTTCCATGACAAGTGTTTTCAGTTATATATATATTTTTTCAGGTATGAAAACATTGGGCTGCATAGCATATTGCCGTGTTTTGAACGACTAACTTGAACATAATCCCATAATGTTTCAAGAACACAATAGTCACTTCATTTTTTATGTTTTAATTTGTGTTTCAGACAAGAAGCAAATACCAGGCTCAAAAAGAAAGCCTAGTCTTTCTTTGCAATGGCACAAATAAGATGATATCCTTAACAGGCTGATAAGGCAGTGTGTGGGTACCTTGAAAATCTACTCCAAATAGACCTCCTAAATCAAAAAGAGGAATAGAAAAATGCAAATGAGAAAAAAAATGCATTTTTATATTTAATATAGTCATATCGTCATTTACAGATGAATGTTTCACAGCTACCACTCACAGCTACACTAATAGACATTGATAAGTGTTAATTTAACAGCTAGTGAAACGGTAGTGAAACATTTCTATCTCTATTTAAAAACTAATGATGTATTCTGTGCTGAATATAGACTTCTTTAGAACAGCACTGTGGCGACTTTTTCAATAACTAGATACTGTAAGCAACACGGGTAACACTTTAGAATAGGGAACACTTATTCACTATTAACTACGACTTTTCCCTCAATAAATTCCTAATTTGCTGCTTATTAATAGTTATTAAGGTAGTTGTTAAGTTTAGGTATTGGGTAGGATTAGGTATGTAGAATAAAGTCATATAGAATAAGACATTAATGTGTGCTTAATTAGTACTAATAAATGGCTAATGTTCTAGTAATATGCATGCTAATAAGCAGCTAGTTAAGAGACCCTAAAATAAAGTGTTACCCTTTGCTTACATATAAGACACAAAAAGTTACAAACATTAATACTACACTCTAAAAAATGCTGGGTTAAATACAACCCAGTGCTGGGTAAAATAGGGACAAACCCAGCAATGTGTTTAGAGTGTATGTTCATATTCAAATTTAATTTACAAGAAATAGATTAATTCTACAGACATGGGATATAACATTAAACTTTAAGTGCTATTACTTTTGAAAATTGCAACATGTCAAAGTTAAAAGCAAATAATTATAATAATATTTTATCAAAATACCACCTGTCATCAGAACAACTCAGTTTTATACACATATTCATGGCATCTGAACATTCTGAACAGATTAATCTAAAATAATTGTGGTGTACAACACCTTCAACTCCTGCTAATAATTTTAACGATATCTTTGTCTAAAAAACAACCATAACTAAAATCCAAAACATGCCATAGATTGAGTATTTTTCCGCCAGAGGATCTGTTATGTCCCGGTTTGTTGCAGAAGAACGCATTAGAAGCTGTTGTGTACTTGCCTCTGCTCTCTGCCACCAGGACCACTGCTGCCATCATCTGAACGAAACCTGGTGATCACATAGAAGAATGGCAAGTTCATTCATAACTGATGGAGGCTGGTCAATGCAATGCAGTTTAAAAACAATCAAAAATATACTAATTACCTGCGAGACAGTCTTGATAGTCGACTCCACACTCTAAAAAAACATTTAAGACTTAGTAAAACAATTATGATGATTTTTACTTTCAGACAGATTGTTAACGTATGGCTTCTTATTGTCATGTTTTAACTATTCGAATTGGGAACTGTATTATTAGATATTGAAAACAGATCTGTGTGCTTTTATCAGCAGGAAGCATCTTTAAACAATGTACTTCCCCTCTCCACCCCATTCAAAATAGCACACCACCATAGTTTAATATCTGTCTTTATCTCTTTTTATAACAGAAAAATTATTTACTAATATTTTTTTTTCTATTGTAACTGTATTAATAACCCAATTAGTTTAGATTTCTTTCCTATGTATCTTCTATTCATTTTCTATTGAAAAAAATAAGTTGTGATGTTACATACAGTACCTGGTGTATCAAAGTTCACTGACATTGACTCAAAAAAGCCTCATTTTAAAATAATTTTAAAGTCAGACTGAGGCACAATAATGTTCCCAGGTAGAACTGCTGGTAATGCTCACCCATTGTCATTTCTGGATTGGAGATCTGCAATGCGCTTCCTGGGAACGATTTGAGTCATAAATAAATAAAATTACTGAAACATACAAGAATGTCATCATGCATTCTCAAATCCTCACATACAAGTGCAGTATTTTAACAGAAATCATTCATTTGTACATCATTTTCATTCACAGTGTAAAACAGTTTTAAGAATGTGTCTTTTTTTTTTTTTATTAGTCATTGATATTTATGTTATTTATAAGTCAGGTCCAGACTCACTTGTATCTCTTGACAATGAAGAAACACAGTAATCCAACTAAAAGAGCAGCTCCAAGACCAGAGATGGATGGAATGAGGATGTGACTGAGAGTTGCGCGTTCTGGTGAAAAAAAATAAAAATAATAATAATAATATATATATATATTTTGTTTTTTTAATCACTTAGAAATAATTTTCTACTAATATATACATTATTTACAAAGAACAGTTTTATTGTTGTACCTTTCACAAAGATAAGGTGAGTCGCTGTCATTTCGCCCTCGACATTCCCGTGGTGCTTGACTGTGCATGTGATAGAGGAGTGATCATCCTCTTTTTGAGGGATGAAGGTCAGGACAGACTCTGCTTCCCAGTTTCCATGACTAATGTCCTTGTAGCTCATGACGGCTTTTCCAGCGTGGCTCCAGGTGAGAGTGGGCTGGTAGGACGGACAGGTGTGCCGGACAGAGCACTTGAAGACTGCAGGTTCACCCTCCTGCACAGACTGCTCAGCCTGCAGCTCTGGTTTTGATGCTTGCTCTGTAAATGCATTTTGAATGATTCACATTTAGGCTGTTTTCTTATTTTGTACCCTATTTAGTTGTTGTAATCACAGGTTGAGAGCTCAAAAGCAGACTTACTTACCAATCATTTTAATCGACACACAGTTTTCCACAAAGGAGTACTTGTCTTTTTGAGATGTTTCTAATTCCACCCTGAAACAATACGGGCCGTTGTCATGGTTTTTGACCTTATCAATCTCCAAGGAGCAGTTGAAACCACCCAGTGAACCAATCAGTTTTGTACGACCCTTGAAACTGTCTTTTACCCTTGTAGAGTCTTTGTGAAAAATAATATCATCCCTGTTGCCCTTCATGTGCCATATAGCTCTTATACGATCAGAGGGCTGTTCTTGAACAGGGTATTTGAATGAACAGGGCAACACGACACAAGATGAGACCAGAGCCTTCATTTCAGACTCTACACGTACCTTCCAAACATCAGCAAACACGCCTGCGCAAATAACTGCAAAATAATAAGCATACAATTAGTAAAAAATTCTGATTTTGAATAGTTCACCCAAAAAATTACAATTTGCTGTTGATTTACTAATCAACACAAGATGCAGGTGACTTTCTTTATTCAGTACAACAGTAAAGATCTTTTTTAGTTGAACCCAATGGTATACTTGGTGATTCATAAAATGCAAGTCCAGAGCTACCTTCACTTTGAGAGCCAAAAAAAGCAGATACAAAAAACTAAATGAATCCCAGAGGCTCCTGACAATATATGTAAGTCTTATGAAGCAAACAATCAGTTTGTGTAAGAAGCATTTTTTTGTTTCATATGCACAACGTACTGTACAGTACATAATGAGCGTGAGCCTGCGGGACCGTTCGCCTGAGGCTGGATTAGGTTACAATGTTGTAAATAATGTTCAGTTTCTTATACAAACTGATCATTTTGCCTCATAAGACCTCGCCAGGAGTTGAGGGGATTCATTTAGTGTTTTTGTATCTGCCTTTTTTTTGACTCTCAAAGTGATGGTAGCCATGGACTTGCATATTATGAAACACCAAGGACCGTGGGTTAAGCAAAAAATCTTCTTTACTGTTCTACTGAAAAATGTCACCGACATCTTGGATGGCCTGAGGGTGAGTAATTTAACAGTACATTTTCATTTCTGGGTGAAATATTCCTTTAATAAACTTTTAAAAAATATGTAAAGAAGTTAACATTTTAATAGAAATAATTATTTCTAATAAAATTATTAAAATAATTAAAATAATTTATTCATATAATGTATGGAAAGAAAGCTTTAAAGTCATACTGTGAAGCCAGTAGAGAAAAATTCCTGCCCGTACATCCATGGTGGACTGGACTCTAGAAACTGAAGAGGCAAAAACAATACTGATTTCTTTGCACATACAATAATTTTTGTCTAGGGCACTGGATAGACCTCACTAATCATAATTATATAGAGTTCATATACATTAACCTGAGAGTTAAACAGGGACACTATAGTGAACTAAAACCATGAATAATTCTTATATAAGTATATATATATATATATATATATATATATACACACACACACTTTTTATATTTAACTTATTTCAGCTAGGTGCTATATGACAACATTTCTCATTTGCATTTAGTTGAACTAAAACTATTTAAAAAACTCATAAAACGTCATAAAAACTATATATATATACATATTTTGACATTCATAAATGACAAAAACACAACAAAAATCACTATAACTTTAAAATAGTGGAAATTGAATGGCAATTGTATTTAAAACTAATTAAAATTATTAATAAAAACTATAATAGTATCTCAATGATACTAAAATAACACTGGTTCTCTGGAGATAAAAATTGGAACCGAAAAATTATCATTTATTGATCATACTGATGCAAGTGGAATCAGCAGATAATAAAGGATGTTGGCCAGTGATATTTGTTGATATAAGAATAATAATAACAGTAATCAGTGATGACTTGAAGCGAATACAGATAATATCAATGAGATCTAATAAGTCAGACATGTACAAGTCTAACACCATTCTAAGCTCAGCATCTGCATATGCTCACTAGGACACAAGCATGGTAGGCAAACGGAAAAAAGGCAAGTTAAAGATAGATATGGGCCTCGCTTGGGAGATCAAGTGCGATTTTTTTTTTTATTCCGTTATTATTTTCAGTTCTCTAGAAATATGTATGCAAGCAAATAATACTTTGCAAAGAAAAGGAGACAATAATTAAAACAAGAATGATAAATATGCATCTAATATGAATCACACACTAGATAAAACATATCTGCAATAATCAATAAGTAATCAAACATGATATAAATGTAATGGAAATGAACTTTACCCAAATGTATGATATTAACAGATGATGTGTTTAAATATATGAAAGAACTCTTATGTTTATTTGGAATTTTCTCATTCATCACATTTACTCGTTAAAAAAAAACTATTTTAGATAGAAATATTAACATATGCTTATTATCAGGAAAACTTTCCATTTATTTTATCATGATGTTAATAATTATTATATAAAGTATTAACAAGAAAGAGAGCCTACCTTATTTTTTAGAGTGTGACTAATGTGCCTTGACTGACTGAATTGCTGACTGAACTCTAATGCAACCCAGAGATATACACTGCCCTAAAAATAACAGGAAGTGCATTTAATACCACAGACCTCTGAGAATGTAAACCCTTATCTCTTTTCTCGTATTTGAGGATGCTGTGCTGAAAAGCATCAGAGCATAAGTTCAGACCTAAGAGTCAATGAATGTGTATTACTTGAAACTTTGAAATGAAGAGAATATGAAACAATAAACGAAACAATGTAAATGGAGTACAAGATTCACTCTGTTAGCTCCCTTGAAGCTGCACACACACAGGCTTGCTATTAAGAACTCAAATTACATTCTTAGATCATTCATTACCGAGACTTGGTGGCGAAAGAGATCTTTAATAAAGGAATAGTTACACCAAAAATGAAAATTATGTCATAATTTACTCACCCTTATGTCGTTCCAAGCCTACCTGACCCATATACATTCTGTTTGTCCACAGTAAATCAAATTGACAGTTGAGACCTCTCGGTTTTCCTAAAAATTAAGATTAAAAATCATAAAAATCCCATAGACTTACATTGACGGAATGTTCAGATGAGCCAAGACTATTCAAACTCCAACATTCAAATGTAAACACACTGAAGCCCATTACACCGTGTCTACACTGGACGCGAGCGGCACGACAAAATACTATAGAACTCATTATAATCAGTGATGCTGTCTACACTGGATGCGGCGTGGCGCGGCGCGACACAACAAATCCCCGACAGTAAACTGCTGCTGCGTTCTATTTATGACGTGTTGACACAAATTTCAAACGATTTTCAATGGTCGCTTTGTCGCGTCCAGTATAGACATACTTTAGCTGTTGCGGCGCGGCGCGTCCGGTGTAGACACGGTGTAGACTCAATCAAGCTTCCCTTCTATGTAATATTTCTAAGCCATTCAAACTAATTCAAGCTTCCATTCAACCTTATCCATCTATCTATCTATCTATCAGCTGGTTGTACCTGGTTTTAGCTGCTTTTTTTTCAAAATCAGCTGGTTTTACCTGGTTTTTCGCTGTTTTTTAATAAATCGGCTTGTTTTGATTGGTTTTTAGCTGTTTTTTGCTAAATCAGCTGGCTTTAGCTGTCTTTTATTTTGCTGTTTTTAATAAATCAGCTGGACTTTAAAGGGGTCATATGATGCGATTTCAATTTTTCCTTTCTCTTTGGAGTTAGCTGTTTTTTATTTTTTTGCTTAATCAGCTGGTTTTACCTGGTTTTTAGCTTTTAAAACTACTAAATTAAAACTTAACTATTTCAAACTGAAAACCTTCAAACTTCAAGCTTTTAAAACTAGGCTACTTCAAACTTTGTCTACAAACTTTTTTTATCTAGTTGGGAAACTATTGAGAACATTGGTCAAGTTGAACACAGAAAACATACAAATATATTTACTGGCAAGAACTTGCAAAGCAACCATAGAAAGCAATGATACGGTGGCCGAGAAGTGCAAAACAAATCACAATTCTGAAAACAAAATAACAAATTACAAATGCAAATGCAAGTCTAAAAAACAAAATAACAATTCAGAAAGCACAACAACAATTCAGAAAACATTATCACAAGTCAGAAAACACAAAGACAAATCCGAAAACAAATTAACAAGTCAGAAAACACAACGACAAATCAGACAAACCGGAAGAGGTAGGTATAGTTTGAGACAACGCCATTGGTTTGGGATTTTCTGAATTGTTGTTGTGTTTTCTGAATTGTTATTTTGTTTTTTAGACTTGCATTTGCGTTTGTAATTTGTTTTCAGAATTGTGATTTGTTTTGCACTTATCAGCTACCGTACAATGACCATAGGCGTATATGTGTGCTTGTCGTTGTTCACAATGCAAAGTTAGTGCTTACTTGCGCGTAAGCTCTAGCGAACTGGTGGAATCACAGCCGTAAACGCAAATGTTGTCAATGATAACGATTTCTTTTCCAGGGACTGGGTGTTTTGATATGTGAAAATGAAGATCTAATATACATTTATCAGGAAAATGTGTTTTAGGAGTCATTTTAAAAGTTTCCAAACAGCTCCCTCTGTAGTTCAAACGCTTTCAGAAAATAGACCTAAACAAATCTGGATGAGCAGCTGTAATAATCATCAAGAATGCATGCTTTCTTGCGATAGTTTAACTATTGCTGTCAGTCTACATGGGAATAAAAACCAAAACTAAAAGTGAGTGTATAGAAATTTTCCAGTTAAGCCATTAGAAAGGAATACAAAAGAAATTCAGTGTCATTTTGGATGCATAAAGCATATTTTCCTTGTTTACTTTTGCATATAATGAGTGTGTGGTCATGCTGAATGGTGTATGCATGTCCATGTTTTATAATTACAGTGCAAGAAAATAAATGAACTCCCAGTCCTTTTTGTGTCCATTTTTTCAGAGCATCACATTTCATAATACATCATGGGTAATGAAACAAAGGCCTCTGATGACCCAGGAATAGGTTTGACAAATGAAAAGCTCACCAAGAATGTCAGAATTAATCCCCTTTTGAGGAAACCCTGCAGAAAGACAAACAAGAAAAGCAAGAAAAAAAAAATCAGCACTAGAGCCTGAGCAGGAACAATTTTCAGTGCAGAACTGGGAAATGTGCAACCCTTTGCCTTTGTAAAGGAGAAAAATGCATAAAGCGATGAGTATACTGATTATTGGAGGAGCTCTTGAAGCTGTAGATTTAATCAGGTGTGATTTATAACAGTCAGATTCAAAATTCAGAAAATGATCTTTCACTCAAATCTTTAAATCAATCCTGAGAAGTTACTGTTTGTCTTAAAAATGGAACTTCCTCTTGTTCACTGTGCAGTAGCCATGAATTTGATGAACTGCTTTTTTATACACTATGTCTGTCACTATGCCAAAACATTTCACAGGGGCAGTTTCTTCATTAGGACGATAGTGTGAAAGTGAGGTTATTTTTTTTCTATCACATTCAACCAGGGTGTTACGCTAGCTGTAACTGTTTGTTCTGCCTCTGGATCTATAGTCCAATCAGCCTCAACAGTGGTGGAGGTAACGAATTACAACTACTCACGTTACTGTAATTAAGTAGTTTTTTCGGGTACTTGTACTTTTTTGAGTATATTTTTAAAGCTGTACTTTTACTTGTAGTTAAGTACAAATTAAGCAAAAAATCTACTTCGTTACTTTTAAATCATAGTTCGTTACTGAGTACGCCTACAATTTGAATTGATATTCAAATCTTTGACGGCGCTTCAGTAGCCAATAAAGATATCCGACCGTAAACGGACCAATAAAAGCCCTGCGTCTCTCTTTCCTCTCCGACAGCGAGTTTGACATGCATCTGCCTCCTGTCGATTACAGAGTCTGAATGTTCGCACGGGATTGCAGGTATTCCGCATAATTTTAATCATTCCTGCGCAAATGTGGCGAGCGCTTTATTGTAACATGAGAACACAGTCATGTAATCGCAGAAAACTGAACGCGAGCTCTCAAATAGGCCTAACTTATACAAATGAACTGCCTGTCCTCTCACTCCGATATTGCTTGTGCGCTAGGGATGGGCGTATCGATCCGAAGTATCGATATATCGATATCGATATATATTGATTGGTTCTGTCTTGCAACATTTGCGTTTGTTCAGATGAGCAGGAAAATAGTTATATCCTACACAATTACTCGCTAACAAAGGTTATTTGTCCAATGTTATAGATACAGAATAGATCCATGCCTGACCGATGAAAATCCTACTGGAAATAGTATTGGCTGTAAGTCAAATGCACCAGAAAGTCTTTCAACAATCAAAGATGGAACTTTAATTTCTTTACAATGTAAGTTTATGCTAGAAATGTTTTGGAATGGGATATTTTGTACATGATTTGTACATATAAATATCCTAGTCTGCCTAACTACATCACTACATTGTACAGACATTAGGGTCAAAGGCAAAGCCATCTGATGTTCCATTTATCTAAATAAATAGGCCTAACATATATGGCTCTTAAATCACTGCTTATAAAAATTACTTTATAGTATAGCGATTTTATACTCAAACTGAATTGAGGTCATTTATTTTATAATTGTATTACTGTGTACTTGTCTTTTTTTGTAAATTCAGTTCAGTTTGAAATCAAATTTGAAATCAAGCTTCCTTGTGCTGTAAGCTTTCGCAACAAAGTTACCCTATTTTAAAGACACAAATACACAGAATGAGTAAATGTTTAAGATTGAGATTTTTGTTATGGTAATTGATCAATTTTTATATGTATGTAAATAAAAGCCTATATTAAAATCTGTTCATCATATAAAGAGAATGTGTCTTTTTAGAAGACTTGGATTAAACCAATTTCAAAGCTTGAAATAATGATTGCTTTGAAAAATTGGATGTACAAAAAAAGTTTAAAATATCTATATGGCTGTATACAGTATGTGTTAGTTTTGCCAATGGTATTGAAAATGATTCGTCAATCGTCATGAAATCAAAAATGACCCTACTTACTTTTTAGTGCACATTACTAGTCTTGTGGTGAACAATTGAACCGTGCAAGTCAATACACTGATAAAAAAAATTGTCTGCCGTCGTAACTTTTAATCAAAAATGGAAAATTTTGCTTCTGCTCTGGAATGGCATTCTCGCTCTGATGACGTCAGTTTGACAGCTTGGGGAGAATCCTCTTGTTAAGTCATGATGTAAGGATTGCTATTTCCGGATCCAAGCCTCTACTTATTTTACTTGAGAATACTATCTCAACAGCCATTTATGGCACTATTTAATTAATATTACATATTTAAGCTAAGCATTTAAAAATTTGCTGTGCACACTACAGTCTCCGTGCTCAGTGTCTCAGACACTAATATTTTAGCCGAATAACTGACTGGCCATCTGGGATTTCAATATGGAGATAAAGGTTAGGGTTATAATTTTTTTAGTATTACATGACATCGTGGGTGTATATTAGCACAGTTTGTTGTTTTTTTGGGGGGCGTCTGGCAGAGCGTTAGGACCCAGAAGCGGTGAAGCGTGATG